CATATATATATATGTGTGTGTGTGTGTGTGTGTGTGTGTGTGTGTGTGTGTGTGTGTGTTTGGCCTTGCAAGATAAATTATTTTAAATTATAATAAAGTACTCTTATTTCATAATAAAATGATATTTCAAAATAAAATATCAGAGCAAGGCCAGTATGTAAATTAAACTAGGTTTTATGTCTCCATAATGCACCAAACTGGAAAGTTCCTTTACCAGAGAGAGAGAGAGAAAGAGAGACAGACAGAAAGAGAGAGAGAGAGAGAGAGAGAGAGAGAGAGAGAGAGAGAGACTCAAGTTCTTCCAAACAGCAGGATTTATGGGCTTCTATAATATACTACACAAATGAAGAAAAAACCGACATACGAAAGAGGCATTAGAGTTAAAGTGAACTCAACTTGGCATGTCAGGTCTTCTGACAAAAATAACCCTGTCTTTTCAGGGCACCTGTCTACACTGCTGCAATAGAAACTCCATAGGTCAGGGTGACTTATGTTTACCCTGTGTCCCCAGTGCTAACTCAGTGCCTGGCAAGCAACAGGTACCACTCTGTATGTGTGTGTGAGAGAGAGAGAAGTGAGGGGGCAGGGAGACAGAGAGAGACACACACAGAGAATTAATAAAATTTTAACACCTGAAACAGGGAATTAATGAAAAGAGTTGTGCATTGAGGCAGAATTCATTGAACACTGCAGAGCACCAGTACTGTGCTAAAAACACACCAGGATGTTATTAAACCCAGGCAGGAAATTTGGTGTACTGTATTTATCAGAAAATAGTTTGGATATTTCCTTGACATCTACTAGTAGTTTTGACAACTGTAATGAGCATTAGAATTCCCAGCCCCAGATCAGAAGCTCTGCTAGATGCAGTTTGTGAATACATAGAAGCAGCAATTGTACTTCTTAACAAGGAAAGCCATAACCCATGCATAACAACAGTATGGGAGTCTGACTCTTCAAGTCTCCACTGTCCTGTGTATGTTGTCTCCACATGTGTGCTCGGGTGAGGTAGTGAAAAAGAAAAGGACAGGATAAAGAGACCTCAAGGTAAACAGCAGTCAGGCCCCACTGGAAAGAGTTTGCACTGTTCTGAATAAAGAAGACCAGCCTACAGGAAGCTTCGCAGGGCTATGAGAGTGCTTTCCCCTTCCCATTTTGAAACCTCCTTATTTCCACAGAGCTATTGACTCCCAGGAAGTTGTAAAGACAGCACTAAGCGGCCACCTATAGCTTCTCCTGTCTCATTTTGTTTGCTGTGATTTAGGAGACAGGTGACTCTAGAGAGCTGGTTTGTTTGGATATGAGACTGTTGTTTCTTCAGTTACTTTGTGGTGCCTGGATGCCTAAGGGTTAGGCTCCTCAAGAGCCATGTAAGAGAAAGATGTCCTTTTATAAAAGCAACATAAATATGTTAATGTGCACAAAGCATTAGGAGGTCCCAATAGATTCTGAGAAAATCGATCTGCTGTGTAGCAACTGATGTTAATGATTATGGTCATAAACCACACAATAAAGGATCTGCACGGTCTGTTAGGGAGGCAAAAACTATCAAGTATGGAGTCCATAGCAAAAGCTAGAAAGGACTCAAATGTTCACCAATAGGAAATTAGTTGAATAAATTGTCCTGTAGAATAACTTTATGCAGTAGGATTCTAAGCATAACATATTAATAGCAATGACTTATATGTATATATATACCTCATGTAGGTAAGTATCTAGAGACATATGTATGTATATTTTATCTTTCTTCCTTTTATCCTTTTTTTCTCCCCTCTCTGACCAACACTGAGGAATAGAATGCATGTGGTGTCACACTCTATTAACTGAACCGACTTCACTTTCTTCTAGGTGACCTCCGAGTCAATCCAATGCTGATGGCTTGAGATGTACATCTCCAATGCCCTCTTTTCTCCTAACCACAGACTCTTACATTCAGTTATCAACTTGACACTGTCCCATGATTTACAAATGTTCACAATAGGATATTGACCTATTACTGCCTTCCAAGATCCTCTCCCACTCCCAAACATCCCTATATGAACCAGCTTTTGCCTATCTTCTTGTCTCTTATTTAACCAAATGCCATTCCCTAGTCACTTTGCTCTAATAGATGCTACCTTCATTCTGGTTTTTAGCACATCAAGTTCACCCTCTGCTCAGAACCTAGTTTCCTCTTCTGGGAATGTTTTCCCTTTGCTGTTCTATCTCAAGCATCCTCTCTTCAAAAAAGCTGCTCTAATCAATATACTCAAGCTGCCTTCACCCCTCAATAGTTCTCCCAAACTCATTTTCTTCATGTATAACATATTTTACCACCCGTCCCCCGACTAGAATAGAATCTTCATGAGAGTAGCAAACCTTCCTATCTTGTTAATACCTGAAACCAGAATATCTTTAAAGAGTTCCTGGGTCATATAAAAGTGCTCAATTAATATTTGTATTAAAAAAGAACCTCAGGAGTAACTCAGTGGTAGAGTGTTTGCCTTCGAGAAGTAGGGCCATGGGTTCAATCTCCAGCACGGAACAAAAGATTATGCTGAATAAAGTTTGGGAGGATGTATAGTAGTTTACAGTGCAAATGGCATAAGAGGTAAATAATGAATTTGCATTTACTTTTCTACCAAGAACTGTTTTAGTCTTTATTCGAAGTAAAATACACCTCAATTACAAGTAACAATTGGTAAGATTGCATTCTCAAAATAGCTATGCCTACCTGGAAGATGAGGTAGCCAGAACTTTTCTGGTGATTGCAAAATAACATGTCATAGTCCACACGAAACACCTGTGAAGTTGTAAACACACCTAGCAATTGAACAAGAAAATTGTCTCATCCCGTTACCATTCTTTTGGATTGGTTGCTATATATTTCTGGAAAATTATTTAAATTAATTCCTCCTAAAGGTAACAACAAAAAACAACCAATATCATGATGAAAACCTTCTGCCTGTTTTAGTTTACATCATGCTATAACGTCTATAACAGATGAGCTCATCTGCAGTGTGTTTACTTCTGCTTTTTACACACACTGAAGCACAATGTTAGCTGCTGTCCCTGGGTCTGAATGTTATGTCAGCACACAAGGGACAGATCTTCGGCTTATCGAGTATTGAAGCTCTCTGCTTGTTTTGGAGCCTCTTCTGATACTATGGACTTAGTTCAAGGCCGGGTAATACTATTTTTTTCTTTTTTCTAATAGGAGGACAAATAGTTAGTTGTTTGCTTTGGTCACCCAAGTTCAAGTTATTGGACCATGGACCTATGCATATAAAGAGTCTAGTTTGAGCCGTTCAAGGGCAGCCTTACCTGGCTAAGCACAGACTCTCCTCTTGGGAGTTTTTCCTGCTTTGCAAAATGATGACCATCTCTTTGATTTGGGGGATTGCTGTGGTAGTGTTCTGTTGTATATGGGTTATCTTTGGCAGAAGGAGAAGGTATGGAAATACTTTTTCTTTAATTTGTCTTTTAGGTTATTTCTATGATCTTTATCCTCACTATTATACAGTTTCAAAAAAATACTAGAACATTAGTATTTTTTATTTAAAATTTATAGCCATACTTCTTTGACTAAACCTGACAAGATGTAGAGTTTCCCTTTGAATATTCACATACACTGATGGTAATGCAGATCTTGTTAAACATAACTAATTGTAAGTATTGATGCATGTTTGTACTTGTGTGGAGCGCACCTAAGCTGGGAAGGGTGCATTTGGCAAGGGTGACATTTAGAAGGGTTCTTTCTGTCACAAGAACAGAATAGATGCTTTGCCTATGCATGTACTCTTCTGGGTTTTCTTTTACATCAACATTAAAATATGGGAATACACAGAATACCCTTGGCATATCTTTGGCAATGTAGACTGTGTCTGTTGTCTTACTTTTAAGAACTTCTTTGCCTTTTGAATTATTTAATTTATGTCTGATAGTTTCCAGTTTTAGTTATCTTAATGATAAGAAAGGACAAATCAATTATATTTAGTTATTCTAACAAGAGATAACTAGTTTATGTTGGAAAATAAATTATCTTATAATTTCTAATTAAACCATTTAAGAGAGTTAAAAATCAGTGAATTATAGATGATGAGCTGCCAATGTTTACCTTGCTCAACTTCATTTTATAATTTTCAAGTGGGATTCCTGTTTACTTCAAATATCAGCACAGAATTATCATCTTCTTTTCAGAGTGGGGAACCAAAAGGAAGGTTTCATGTGTGCCAGGCAAGAGCTCCACCATTGAGCCACATCTCCAGACCCCACAATGCCAACATTTTTAAAGCTATGTAGAATTTAAAAGCTTCAATTCTGTAGCCTTTTTTTTCCTGTTAGTTGGTGTTTCACATCTTCAAAGAAAAGGAAACATGAAACACTTTAGACATATAGGCAAATGATTCATTGAACAAGTCTAAGCACTAGACGATAGCTTCATTTCTACAGTGAGATCAAGAATCTTGTTAGCTCCGTTGACACTTTTATCCCTGTCACTTGGAAAATCAATCAGAAATATGTGGTGATATTTTGTTTATGATCTAGAAAATAGAGCTTGCCTGAAGATCAGAGTGCAGAGCTGGTCACACTAGTCAGCCATACAGGTCAGGCAGTGGTGGCACACACCTTTAATCCCAGCAGCCACTCTAGTTAGCCATAGAAGCTGGTGGTGCACACTTTAATCCCAGGACTGGGGAGGAATATAAGGTGGGTGGAGACAGGGGTGCAGTGTATTCAGTCACGCTGAGGACAGGGTCACCCCAGCCTTGGTAGAGGTAAGAACTCTTTAGTAGTTGGCTGCTTTGCTTTTCTGATCTTCAGCTTGAATCCCTGTCTCTGGGATTTTATCTTATTCATGCTATAGACATAGACATAGTAAACAATTTAATGAGTGCTTGATGAATGTAGGTACGTATGTATAGTTTCTGCTGGATAGACTGTAGATGGGTTGGTGGATGGGTTGATGAGTGTACATTTAGTAATCACCTTCACCAATATCTAAGTAGGCTAAGAAGCCCAGTATTTTAGTAAAAGAATGGGATATCCCTCAAAAGAAGTATCTGTAAACTGTAGTTATGTGGTAGAAATAAGTGATAGAAACCAGTAAAAATCCAACTTACATACAAATGCTAAACATGCCATTTTCCAAACCTCTCAAATCTGTCTCACAGGAAAGTAGGTGAACCTCCTTTGGAGAATGGGTTGATTCCGTACCTGGGCTGTGCTCTGAAATTTGGGTCCAATCCTCTTGAGTTCCTGAGAGCAAATCAAAGGAAGCATGGTCATGTTTTCACCTGCAAACTAATGGGGAAATATGTCCACTTCATCACAAACTCCTTGTCATACCATAAGGTGTTATGTCATGGAAAATATTTTGATTGGAAAAAATTTCATTACACTACTTCGGCGAAGGTAACTAGTTTATACAGATTTGGTTTGTTTCCTAGCCTGTTCATGTATTAGTTTATTTAGTTGTTGCAATATTATTAGATTGTAGGATAGAGGGAACATAAAATCAGGAAGTCTCTTGATACTAAATATTTAAAAAGTCAAGGTAGATGGGAATTTGTCATTGATGATGACATTAAGCACTTTGTAAGTACTTTCTGAGCCAGATGACAGTACAGGAAAGCACAGACTCATAACATCCACACTGCCATCTACACAGCACTCGGAGCAGGGTGCTGGCACACTTAACACTCATCACGTCTATTACCACATCAGTCACACGAATGTCTAGTTTGTTAAGAAGTCGGCAGTATATTAAGCATCATTCAGATGTTATCAAGAATTCTATTCTGGAGAAAACAACACTTACTGAATTTTTACAAGGACATATTAGACATGGTCTCTGTCATTAAGTAGATTAAAGTGCATCTGCAGAGAACAAAAGGTAAAGATAAAATCAATGGCCCATTAGTCCAGAGAAGCTTCCCTGAAAATCTGGGATTTAAACTTGACCTTAAAGGAAGAGTATGTCTTAGTTTGCCTTTGGAAAATGCTGTGAAATTGTATGTGGGAAGGCCAGACAGAGAATCATGAATATATTTAATCCATCTTCCAGCCATTTCCTAACACCCAGGTTTAGCTGCTCTCCCTTTGATATATTTTATTTTCTACCAGGCATTTGGACACAGAAGCATTGACCCAAATGATGGAAATACCACGGAAAACATAAACAACACTTTTACCAAAACCCTCCAGGGAGATGCTTTGCATTCGCTCTCTGAAGCCATGATGCAAAACCTCCAATTTGTCCTGAGGCCTCCTGACCTTCCTAAATCAAAGAGGGATGCCTGGGTCACTGAAGGGATGTACACCTTCTGCTACAGAGTGATGTTTGAAGCTGGATATCTAACTCTGTTTGGCAGAGATACTTCAAAGCCAGATACACAAAGAGCACTTATTCTAAACAACCTTGACAACTTCAAGCAATTTGACCAAATCTTTCCGGCGTTGGTGGCAGGCCTCCCTATTCACTTGTTCAAGACGGCACATAAGGCCCGGGAACAGCTGGCTGAGGGCTTGAAGCATGAGAACCTCTCTGTGAGGGACCAGGTTTCCGAACTGATTCGTCTGCGCATGTTTCTCAATGACACGCTCTCCACCTTCGATGACATGGAGAAGGCCAAGACACACCTCGCTATTCTCTGGGCCTCTCAGGCAAACACCATTCCTGCAACCTTCTGGAGCTTATTTCAAATGATCAGGTGACTAGCAATTTGAGTGTTTATTCTTCATAGTGACAGAAATTACAATTTTTACTAAAACCCCCAAAAGACTAGCAGAGCTTTTTTTTGCCGTTGGTCAAGAATGTGATACTCAGTGCCTGTGTTTGACATATTATATAACAGAAGCAGCATTTTGTAAGAATACAGTCTCACCAGAAAGGGGTGTCCCAGAAACCACAGAATTAGATCTGCTGGCACTTGTCAATACAGGTCCCCTGGCTCAGTCTTGCTCTTAACCCCATAGTGTTCCTCTTAATGTCAAGTTAAATCTATGACCGCAATCTTCATCATGACTTTAAATGATGACTGATTTGCCAGCGTGGTAAGGACTGAGGCCACACCTTACTAGTTTGGACATTTCTGTTTTCCTACTGTCTCACAGATTTACAGTAGAGTTGCAACATCAATTTCATATTCCGTATGAACTGCAGCCATATTTCAAGTTAAGCAAATACTTGTTAATAACATTTCTGAGGCTCAGTTCACTGTAACCAGGTAAAGGAGATTTCAAACAACTGCCAACAAATGCCCATACACTGACTGGAAGCAGCCTTTATCTCACAGTTCAAAAATGATAGCATACGTGTTCTTAAGCTGTGCTATGAATTTGAAGAGTAAATTTGAATTTCTATTTGGGAATTAACCAATACCCTGTAATTGTATGTCAGAGGAAATATTCCGTCTGAATTACTATACTAATCACATGAATGTCTAGCCCTTATTAGAATCATTGGCTTATAGAGATCTGACCAAAGCTTTGCTCTTACATAGCAGCGCCCCTTTAATGTCCCTTCATGAATTCAAAGACATGAATCCAGTTCAGAATACAGTACAAGTAAATGGCGATGCCCTTTGCATACTCCCTGGAACTGTCACCACCTCCCTTTGCATACTCCCTGGTAACATGATCACCTCATTAAAAGAAATGGAGTTCTTGTTAACTTTCAGCTCTCTGAATAAGGAAATATTTCCCATATGTCTGTTTTCATAGGAGTCCTGAAGCGTTGAGAGCAGCCTCTGAAGAAGTGAATGGAGCATTACAGAGTGCTGGTCAAAAGCTCAGCTCTGAAGGGAATGCCATTTATTTGGATCAAATACAACTGAACTCACTGCCAGTACTAGGTGTGCTCCCTATGCTATCCCTCATTCACATGTCACTGGTAACAATGCTCAACATATAATGTACTACATTCTCAATATTTTGCCAAGTATTTTGCAATGCCACAACAGTTTTATAACTAGGGACATTTCCATTTTTATCTAACAAACAAGGAACTGAGACCCAGAGGGTGGGATGATGCTGGCCAGGGTCAGAGGGTGGGACTGTGGCAGCCGTGGCATAGAACATTTGATATTCAGTTGTTCTGTGTCCTTTGCCTCTTTTAATAGTCCTCCAAAACCATAAACTCAGGGTTAAGGAAGTGTGGAATTAAATGTGAACAAAGCAGCATGGTTGGCTTGGGTGGTGGGACTGAGGTTTTTCTTCCCTTTTAAAATTTTTTTTATTTTAATTAGAAAGAAAATTATTTTACATGTCAATCCCAGGTCCCTTTCCCTCTCCTCATCCCCGCTCCCCACCCCCAACTAACACCCTAGCTATCCCATACTCTTTCTGCTCCCAAGGGAGGGTGAGTCCTTCCATGGGGGTGGTCTTCAAAGCCTGTCTTACTCTTTGGGATAGGGCCTAGGCCAACCTCCTTGTGTCTAGTCTCAGGAAGTATCCCTCCAGAATACAATAGTGCCAGATATTATAGTGAAACAGCCTTTTATGCCCTGTTCTGGAAAGGACAGAAGCCCCCATATGCTCTGAGGGCTTTAACTTATTAGAAGGGACAGAGCCTAGATCCAATGCTGCCTGATTTGGGACCTCCCTTTGGACACCTCCCTTTTCTCACTTGTAAATAAAGACTAAGTAACCGCTTGTGACCGAATACTCAGTAATGGCCTGAACTCTGGGAACAAGGCATCTGGCAGCTAGAGGCTGGAAGGCAGGACTGGACCTCAGCAGTTCTGAGGTCTATCATGTTCTTGCATTACGTCCCCTAGAAGCAGGGTGTGGTTACACACCATCAGATGTAAATTGTATGGCTGAAAATGGGATTTCCTAAACATTGAATGGTAGATTCATGAAACGCTTGCAAAGACATTTCCTTATCAGTATGTTTAATTCCCCAAATGGTCAACAATAATTCATACAAAATTGATTTCTAGTTTTTCCAATTTGATTAGGTATGTAGTGTCCTACACAAATAAGATTACCATTCTATAAAGTGAGAGGTGTTCATCTAGTTCCCATTGATGGTGAAGAACATTATATCATCCCAAAAGATCGTTGACTTAGATTCTCAGACTGAGAGTATCTTTCAGAGCAGCTAAATTTCGAAGAACAGCACAGTGGCAACAGAAGCGGCTTTGGGCAGATGTCATTTGTTAGCTTCCATTAGCTCATTTTGTATGCAGATTGTCAGAAGTATTTCAGTTATGTAGCCTTTAGAGGCAACCATTCAGGGCTGAAGAGATAGCTCAGTGGTTAAGAGCTCTGGCTGTTTTCTCGTAGGACCTGGGAAGGACTCAAAGCACCCACAGGGTGGCTCACAGCCATCACGCCTCCAGTTCCAAAGGATCTGACACCTTTTTCCGACCTCTGCAGACACCGGGCATGCATACATGCAGGCAAAACACCCATCAACATAAAAAAATAACTTGGAAATATTTTAATATGTAAATTCTTCTTTTCCCTACTGCTATTTCCCAGGCTCCACCCTCTTCCCTTCCCTCCTGCCTTACTTCTTTTGTTTGCAATTCTTTAGATAGCATCATCAAGGAGGCTCTGAGGCTTTCCAGTGCATCCTTGAATATCCGGACTGCTAAGGAGGATTTTACTCTGCATCTTGAGGATGGTTCCTATAACATCCGAAAAGATGACATCATAGCTCTTTATCCACAGTTAATGCATTTGGATCCTGAAATCTACCCAGACCCTCTGGTAAGTTTCTTCTCATCAAAGTTCAGTATCGAGGTGACAGCTACCCAGGTCTGAATAACGGATGGATTTGCAATTACAGCTTTGATTTGATCATCGAAGCAAAGTCATAGGGATTGTCCCACTTTGTTACAGCAAATATTCATGTTTTGGAAACTTAGGATAGAGGCAAGAGTTTTGAACTTTTATACCTAATATTATTCATTTCATATAGTTTCTGCTAGATTATGTTTTCAGTCATAGCAAAGCTACCACCTTTTTTTTTTTTTTTTAAATCCCCTTAAAAAGTACCCTCTCCCAAATCTACACTAATGGAGGGTATTGCATTTGACTTGATCCTTGTACTATCTGTTTAGAGGCATTTTGCTTCTTTTGTCTAACTGAAGAATGAGTCCACAGGCAGAATAGGAGGTACCTAGAGCTTCTTGGTCTACCAGCTCTTCTTAAGTTCTTCCCAGTAACATGTGGTTTAGCGCTGGGTGTGTGCTAACTTGCAGAGGATGGAGTTATTAGTAGAACATTACTCTTTGGATCTTCCAGGTCAAGAATGCGACACATTTTTTTTTATCATAATAGCTCATTGGCTTCTTGTCTCTTTATTGCAGACCTTTAAATATGATCGATACCTTGATGAGAACAAGAAGGCAAAGACCTCCTTCTATAGCAATGGAAACAAACTAAAGTATTTCTACATGCCATTTGGATCAGGAGCTACAATATGCCCTGGAAGACTATTTGCTGTCCAAGAAATCAAGCAATTTTTGATTCTGATGCTTTCGTACTTTGAACTGGGACTTGTGGAAAGTCATGTCAAGTGTCCTCCTCTAGACCAGTCCAGGGCAGGCCTGGGGATTTTGCCACCATTAAATGATATTGAGTTTAAATATAAACTGAAACATCTGTGACATGTGGTTGGAAGAAGAGGAAACTGAATGATGATGCTGGACTGCAGGGAATCTCACTAAATAACCCCTTGGGACAAATGCTCACCAATGCTTCCCAGCAGCTGATTGTGCCTGTGAAAAGAACTGGTACCCAGGCCACCACTCTCTGATCTCGCTGCCTGAGTTCCTGGGTGCTCAGATAGCTGAGGCCTGAGTTTCACCACTCTCAGAAGCAATGTCTTGTTTTTTTATTTTCAAAATGAAGATATTCCAATTGGCAGAATTTTTCCTAAGGAAATTGCTTCATATTTTTATGAAAACTACTGATTAATTATGAAAAGTCTTCAATTTCACGTTTTAGTGAAATTGTTATTTTTTTTTTCCATTAGTGAAGTTTCTTAAGACGTGAGCATGTATTATAAAAACGTTTTAAGGGATCATATCATGCTTTGCATAAAGGGAAAGGAAAATATTATTCAACTTTTTCGATGTCTAGTGGTGAGAGCTTTGAAAAATGATGCTACTGTTTTGGAAACACTATGGGAAATTTTGACACTTTGCTGTTATATTTAAATGTATTGGTGCTGGAAATTCTCACCCCAGTTTTCAATTGCCTCTCTCTCTTCTTTTTGACATTCATACCAATGAGAAGAGTTTTTCAGGATTAAAGAGACCTCCTCAGAGCCCCATCTCTGATGCTTTTAAGCCTTTAATCCCAGCACTCAGCAGACAGAGGCAGGTAGAGCTCTGTGAGTTCAAGGGCAGTCTGGTCTACAGAGTGAGTTCCAGGCAATCCAGGGCTACAGAATGAGACCTTGTCTCCAAAAGAAATAAATAAGGTCAATTTTATGTTATAATTGATTATGAATCATTTTAAAGGAGAAATTGAAAAACAGAACTCCAAGGGAATGACCATTTAAATGGTAAATTTTAGCTTTTTAGCTAAAATTAACTATGAATTATGTGGAGTTCATTACGTGCACATTGACATTATATGTTCCTTTAAAATGTCATATGTTTTATCTCTGAATGCCTTGTAGATGGAGAGCAATAATTGTGTTTAAATAAGAGTATTATTAGCTGTGCCATTTTTACTGATATATCTAATATTTATATGTAAATTATATTTATCTTTATCTTGCACTATAAATGTAAGAAAATATTTTAACATCCAGTAACTTTAAAATTACCTACCTTTTAGAAATGAAAATATGAACATTTGTGTTTTAAACTTTGAAATAGAATGTTTAAATTACTCATCTACTGATAAGTTAAAATAATTTTATCTGATACTCATAATTTCAAGAAACTCAAAAATCTTCCAAGTAATCATTCACTCAAAGGTCTCCCTAAGGTTACAGAAAATTCAATATAATCTTTTTGCGTGGGGGACTGACTAAGGGTCTAGTGGATGCTTGGCCGGTACTCCAATAGTGAGCTGGATCCATAAGACTCCTTAAACTTTAAAATATTACCACTAAATATTATCATGGAGTTATTACCTAAGTAGGACATTTTTCCTTTCTTTTTCAATTGACAGAGTCCCACAGCAATGCAGCTGGCTGTAACTCTCCACATAGCTTGAGCAGGCTTTGAACTCACTGTACTCCTGCCTTTCCTTATCTAGGGAGTTATTTTCCACATCAAGAATATTAAATTGTTCAGATGAGGCATAGAGTAACAAAATTCTGTTATATACTAATCTGTATTTAACTGATTCTTAATGTGTTAAGAATGGCTTTTACATTTTAAATGCTTAGAAAAAGCAAAACACTATTTCATGTCATATGTGAAGCATATGAAATGCAGATTGGCACACCCATGAATAAATTATTATTGGAATACCATATGCCTACTTCTTTGCATTACATATATGATTCTCTTTTTTGGTGTGTGTGTATTTGTGTGGTATGCATTTATGTAGAGGCACGTGTGTTGTGATGCATGTACACACACATATGTGTGCAAGTGTGTGGAGGCCCGAGATGGATACTGAGTGTTTTCCTCCATTGCTCCCACCTTATATTGAGCAGGGTTCCTCCCTTGAATCAGAGTTCAATGCATAGGCTGGTATAGTCAGCCAACTTGTCCCAGTGCCCCGTTTCTGCCTCCTGAGCACTGAGCACTGATTT